TCTGTCTGTCTGTCTGTCTGTCTGTCTGTCTGTCTGTCTGTCTGTCTGTCTTCTTTCCTGTATATTTCTCTTCTTGCCCTGCTCTCTCTTATTTTAAACTTTTATCCACCCCCCCCTTCTCTCTCATCTCTCTCATTCGCCCTATATCTCTCGATATATACATATATTAGAGAAGAAAAAACGGGGGAGGGGCAACTGGAGCAAAAATGCATACTGTTCCCATAGCATCTTCTGACAACGTGATTGAATTTGAGGATGGGCAGCCTTTGCTACAGTTCAATAAATTTCAGCACTGGAGTCGACGATAGTCTAACGGAGTCGTATTAAGCGCACACAAAATATCGGTGGCACATTATTATGACCAAATTATTGTCCAAAAGTGTCTCCAGACAGGACATTTTTATGTCGTTCTCGTGAACTCTCATTCCTTTACGTTCACGCTTTGCGCCATCTCATTTAGATTCCTTTGATTTTTCTCCAACCTTCGGGGCTTCACGCATTTAATCAAACCGCTTTGACTCCAATCGGCACATGAGATTTGTTCTGGCTGACATCGCAGTGTAATCCATTAAATAAAGCGGACGGTACTATTTTTAATGAACATTGTAGTTCATTTTCTCTCTCTGAGAATGAAAGAAACACACGAAAAAGGGATCATTTCCACTCTTCCCACCGCTTCTCCTGTGATTACAAAGGTATAAGGGGTCAATAATTTTGTCTGCATCCAGGGGAGTTCTGGCCTATTAATATTAAGTTATTAATTCACCTGGAGATTTCATGACCTTTCAAAGGAGAAGTGTCACCTCGGGTCACGTGGAGAAGAGAAAACGACAGATCAGCAGACATACGGTTTAAACTTCGGCTACCAATTATGAACGTATCCATTGTTTGCCGGTTTTCTAGAAGGGAGTTAAGTCAGTTAACTGTATTAAGACGCTAGCATACACCTTAGCTAGGTAAACCTTAACTCCTTGACCCCTTTTCAATGAATAAGACCCCCTCATTTTCTGCCTCTCTGCAATGTTTACCTGCCCTCTTGCTGTTGGGAATGTGTTCGGCCAACAACGAAATGGAGAAAAAACACGAAGGAAGAAGCTTATCATTTCAGCAAACAGTTTTACTCATCAGCAACACCAGGAGAGATAAAACATTTCTGAAAAGTCTTTTTTCTTCGGACTCTTTTTCCAGTTCACATTTTGCAAAGATTGATGTAGAAACATCACTGAGTTCAGTTCCCTGCTATTAACATTATTCGAAAAATCGAGGAGCACAATTTAAATCTAGGTTGACCTACAAGCGTGCTAAAGATTGAAAATATATATTTCCCATTTTTCAAACACATAGAGTCTAGGTCTGTAGTTTATAAGTAAGTAAAGGGATAACTTTGTTATTCCAATTAGGCACCTGGTTAAACTACACCATAGTTTATAGGGCCTTCTTTTAAATTTAAAGAATACGTTTTTCACATTTTTTATTTGTATTTTGAAAAGTATTAAATAATCTTGGTGGCTATTGGAAAAAAGTTGAGGGCACAGAGGCAAATCACAAAGAGAGGAAATATTTTTGGGTTGAGATTAAGAAATATGAGAAATAACTTTCAGTCTATGAAATACAATTTATTGGAGAAGTCATATTTCTGACAGACTCCAAGAGCACGTTCAGTTACGCTTTCACAGAACAACACAAAAATCCGCATAGACTGAATCATTAACTGCCTCCACATACCCTTTCCAAAGTTATAGCAATAGAAGTTACTCAATATTATTGGTCTACTATGAAGTAAAAATCAGCGAGCAAATCACGGATCTGGCATTGGAATGCAGCTCTTACGACAAAATATTATACAACAATGTAACAGTTAATTCTTCGAGAAAGTTCCAAAGGCTTCTTAAAGTTTTCCTCTCTGGGACCTGACTTTTTTCACTTTTGGAAGATAACCGGTGGAGATGGGTCACCCTTTGCTACGTTTGTGAGTTGACAAAACGGTATCATTTTACCCTCCCCTGCGGGCCACAAAAAGATGGGTCAGTCAATGGTCGCAGTACCTCGTGCACAACTACTAATTTTATGGTCTTCCCTCTCCAGGCGCCCATCGTTCTCAACAGAATACCAACTCCATAACCCAGCTATTGTACCCAACAAAAAGAGAAGGCGTTTTAAATTTTCACACGCCCAGGAGGTTAGCCGGTGTTACAAGGCTCCAGTTCTGCATGACTTTAAAAAAGAATTATTTTTTTTAAATCAGAAGACACGACAACAATCGCAGGTGTTTGTGCGTAGTGTGGATGTGTTAGCTGAGGGGGAACGTTTAAAGGTGTGTGTGTGTGTGTGTGTGTGTGTGTGTGTGTGTGTGCGTGAGAGAGAGAGAGAGAGAGAGAGAGAGAGAGAGAAAGAGAGAGATTGTCCTCGTGTTATGCTAGAGTAAGAGGTCAAACAAATGTGCGTGAATGAATTATGTTTGTACAATAAACGATATGTTTTACAATTTTAATAACTGTTAGGATTGAAGCGAGTTGTGAGAATGGTTAGTGCTGTAATATGTGCAGACAAAAAGGACAGTGGTTTCTCTTCAAAGTTGGAAAGTGGTGTGATGGCAAAGGAGTAGAGGAAAGGGGGTGGGGATAGAGAAGACAGAGAGAGCAAAAGCAAACTCTCCGCATCTTGAACTACACATCATTTTGTTATCACTTCGTGCTTTCTCTTGATTGTCAAACAAACAAAGATGAGCCGTGAGTCGCGGGGAGCCAGCACGCCGCAATGCGCCCAGAGAAGACTCGAACGCCTGCCTCGACTGTCATGTCTGGGGCATGCAGCACCTTATTGGTAAACGAGCACGCACAGTGCGTAAACGGTCAAGGGTTTGAGTGAGACAGGACGTGGAAAGTGGGAGAGTGAGGGAAGTGGTAAGACAGCCACACCTTATGACGAGGCAGGCAGGGGACGCGTAGACACTGCACGTGTCTGAATGCGAAATGCTTGCCTTCCGAAGAATTACTTTTAGCAGGGAACAGGAAAGAAGGACCGAAAAAAAAATACAGAAAAAGGGGAGGGAAGACTGAGTGTAAATATGAAGCATTGGAAACGTTGAAAAGGAAGAGATATTATAACGTATAGAAGTATAGAAAATAGATTGTTCTCATGGGGAGGTTAACTCACCCCAACTAGCTCTAACAAATTTACATTGCTCGGTCTCAAACCTAGTACTACATATTTACCCGCGACATGTTTCTTCATTTAGAAAATTTATGGAAAGCCAGAGTTCGTCTTCTCGCGACCTGCGAGCAACAGCAACACAAACCTCTTTTTTATCTGGACTGAGATCTACTTGCGTATCATCGATACATTCATCCATCGTGCGTCTTGCTAGGCCTACTGCCATTCTCTGAATCCGTTTTACTCGCTCTTTGATATGAGGTCATGAACAATTTATTGGCTTTTGATTTTGGAAGCTTTTTTCCTTTTGACTTTGCTCCGGTGTTCGAGAAACGTAAATAAAATGTCCTCGTGATTTCGGCATCCCAATACCGTTCATGTACTGTCGAATGACTTGAAAAAAAAGCAGATTAAATGTGATGGTGGTCTCTTTCAAAGTACATATTACAACACAAAATCACGTGTACCGTTAAATGCAAACAAATAAAAAGAGTCACAAACAACTAAGGTACCATCAAAATCAACAAAAACATAAACAATCACAATAACAAGAAGTAATCAACAGACATAACACCAACAAAAGAAAGAAATAACGGACGGCATGCACAGGACGAACAGCCAACAATCACACAACTCGTAATTGAACAAGAAACAATTGAAATCAAGGATTCATACAAATATCTTGGTCTTACAATCGACAACACATTTACATGGCAAAATCACGTAAACGATATCTTTAAAAAGGTAAATCAGAGGCTGTACTTTTTGAGGAAACTTATGTCTTTCAATCTGAATCCATCCATCCTTCAGAATTTCTACACTACCACAATAGAAATTCGATAAATTTTGATATCACTTGCTATGGTAGCAATCTGGGAAGGCAGCACATCATAAAAATAAACAAGTTGATCAGAAATGCATCAAGAATAATTGGTAGAGACCTAAGTAACTTTGAATATCAGCACAAGACAAACGTTGTAAAAAAGGCGGAAATGATGCTAAGTGACCATAGCACCCACTGACATCGGAATTTCAACTATCGACCCGTGGTAAACGATACATTTCCAAAAAAGCAAGAACAGACAGATATAGATATTCACTCACACCAACTGCAGTGAGGTTACTGAACACACAGTGCTACAAATGAAACAGAGAGAGAGAGAGAGAGAGAGAGAGAGAGAGAGAGAGAGAGAGAGAGAGAGAGAGAGAGAGAGAGAGAGAGAGAGAGAGAGAGAGAGAGAGAGAGAGAGAGAGAATGTTATACGGGGCGGGTTGTTTACAGCACGTGAGACATGTATTTACTAATGTCCTGTCTTGTTATGCGTATACGTCAGTGCACCTAACCTTTGTAACGTCTACTGCCATTGTGAACGACCAAGACAAATTTCTCTCTGCGAGATGAATAAAGATTGTCATTGTCAAAACTTACAGGAATCTGATTCTTCTTGTGAGGGCCCCACTCCGCTTGTTGGGACCACCTCACCTTGAGCAGCCACACACAGGCACAGAAAGGACAACGTTGCCCATGTCAGGAAGTAAGCCATCTTGTGCCTGTAAAACATTTTAATGTGTCAAAAACCACGGTGTGCCTTTCTGATCTCCAAGTTTAACCATATAAACCTCTCTAAAAAACAATTTGGTGAATGAATAGTAAAACACAGTTATTAGCAGGCCTACAAGTATTTTGTTGGCCAGATGTTTAGATACATTAAGTCCAAAATTGTGGGAATTAATAGCAATTGCAGTTTCTTAAACTGTGGCATCGAGTGCATACGATTGAGAATTATTTTGTTTAAATTCAAACACCGAATGTTGAGAAAAGCAAGAAAAGACACATAATAATATAGGTTCACTTGTGAAAAGAATAAAACAATTTTTTTAAAAAATAATTTTTTGTTTGTTTCTCTTTCCTGAAGAAAAAATCGTTCTAGACTAAGAACAGTTAAACAGCTTACAGCGATTTAAAGGAGATAACTTTCAAATACATGAAATGTAGCCTTCGTCTTTTACGCAATTGTATTTGCAGATGTTTTTCGCCCCATCGTCACAATTATTTATTTAGATCATATGTGACGCTACCTGCCAAGGTTAGACTGGATTGAGAGGGATACAAGATCCCAGCAGACAGACGGAGATACTCGATAAAAAAAATTTCCCACAGCTGTACGATAGATGTCTGCGCATTATGGAACCTCAGGATTAAAAACATCACAAGCAAGGCAAAAGCTGCATAAAGGCTACGGTCAAAAACCTGGTGTCTGTGCAAACGTTAACATGATATTATCAAATGTGTTGTTGTTGTCATGGCGACGGAGACATCACCACAATAATCATAACTATCAGAGGAGGTGGAGGAGGAGGAAGAGGAGAAGGAGAGGGGAATGCGAAGAAGAAGAAGAAGAAGAAGAAGAAGAAGAAGAAGAAGAAGAAGAAGAAGA